TCCCCCCCACCTGCAGAGTGAGCCCCAGGAGTCTGGTGTCGCTGGGTCCCTCTCGGGAGCTCCCCTGCAAGTGCCTAAAGCAGGAGGCTCTACCCTGAGAGGCCTGGGCCTCCAGCACCTTCCAGTCCTGCCAGCCACGCCCAGCAGAGCCCAAGGGCAGTTTCTTCTCCCGCCCCCCCCCCCCCCCCCAGGCCTCTGTTCGGCCTCCTGGGCAGTAATGTCACTCACCCACCCGCCAGCAGCCTCCAGCTCCCGTTCCTGGGACAAGCTTCCCAGGGGCAGGCGTGTGGGAGCGGGCGGCTGACCCCTCTGTGCCCCAGGCGGAGAAGGACATCCTGGAGCAGAGCCTGGACGAGGCCCTGGAGAGCAAGCAGGAGATGGTGGACCGCATCCACTCGCTGAGGGAGCGGGCCGTGGCCGCCGAGCGGCAGCGGAAGCAGGTGACCGCGGGCTTCACGCTGGGGAGACGGACTTTTCAGTCCATGCTGAGCTTAAGACCAAGTTTGCCTAAGTAACGGGTCACTCGTTAGTTTATTCCTGTGTCAAAGCTGTGTTAGCACCAACTCATAGTCCGAGACTAGAGTCACGGCCAGTGGGTGGGTGATGAGCAAAGAGGCCAGGCACATAGGTGGTGAGAACAAGGGCATGTGCAGGTGCAGGTGCATGGGGCCCGGTGAGAGCCGAGGGTTTGATGAGTGGCTGCAAATGGTGAGGGGACGGTGGGGAGACGGCCGGCGGACGAGCATGAGCCGGTGAGAGGAGTTATCTGTGCGCCCTGCTCTGGGCGCGGGATGAACAAAACAGCCACACGCGCAGTGCCCACGCGGATCTGGATGGCTCAGCGCCGTCTGGTGGGCACAGCATCTCTGCGGTGCTCCTGGAAATCGCACTCAGGGAGCGCGCGCGAGCTCACCCTGTTTCTCCCCCTCCTGTCCTCCACGGCTCTGACCCCTCGGTCCAGTTCTGGGAAGAGAAGGAGCAGACCCTGCTGCAGTTCCAGAAGACCAAGGTGGACTGTGAGATCTACAAGGAAAAGGTGACCGCCCTGCAGAGCCAGGTGGCCGAGCTGCAGAAGGAGCGGGACCAGGTACTGGAGAGGCGGCGGGGGCCGGGAGAACAGGAGCTGGGGGCTGGCGGCCTCGTGCAGCCCGCCCTGCCCTCCGTGGCAGCTGCTTCCAGACTTGGGGTCTCCCTCCTTGGTCCAGGCGGTTTCTCAACTCCCTCCATTGTCACCTGCTGACGTGCTCACTGTCCGAGACTACAGGTCACGTCTAGGGCCTCCCTTCATTTCTGTGCGCACTCTGGGCGCGGTACACCCACACACGTGACACGATTGTGAACGGTGGCATGTGCCTGCGGGTGAGCCAGTGTTCGCCGCCTCCTCATGCCCGGGGCGCCCTGTGTCCCGGCCCGCAGGCCTACTCGGCCCGAGACGCCGCCCAGGTGGAGATTGCCCAGAGCCTGGCGGAGAAGGACGCGCTCCGCAGGAAGGTGTTCGAGCTCACGGACCAGGGCTGCGACCTGCGCCAGCAGCTCCGCCAGCTGCAGGCTGAGTCGGCACAGGGGGTGAGTCCTGCCCTGCTGTGCACCTGGGAGCAGGGGCAGCATGTGTGTGGGGGAGGGGGCCGGTGGGAGGCAAGCTGGGCCCCATGCACGAGCCCTGGTGGTGGGCATTGGAGATGCACAGTGGGCAGCTGGGGCTGCTCTACCTGTCCCTTCATGATGATGTCATGCACGTCCTGGAAGGGGTGGCCCGACAGAAGGTTCTGGAACCTGTCAGGTGTGGTGTTGGGCTGAGGAAAGAAAGACGAAGTTGAGCTAAAACGACTATAAAAGCCCTAGTTACGGTCTGGCTGGCACCTCCAGTCCAGGCACCTGGTGTACAGGCAGGGGCCCTGCCCTCTGAGCGCACAGCCCCAGCCCTTCCTCCTCACCCTCCCACATCAGCCACATGCAAAACACATGTATGCGCAGAGCAGACTGGCGGGCAGGCGCACACTGCTGACTGCGGGTCTGCATGTTGGAGGGTGGGTGAATTTCTCTTTTCTGATTGGTCTGCCCCCCCCCCATTTTCTATGTGCAGTGTGTATAGACACATGTACATACATTATGTACCAGGTGTGTAACCAGGAAAGAACTGTGTGCACAGGGGTGGGGAACGTCCAGCCCATATAAGGCCCACAAAATCATTTGGTCTGGCCCTACCAAGGCATTAAGGGTGGGTTAATTAAATGTTTGATCAAATAAAGCAGGCTAATTTTTAAAAATGTTTTCTTTTTAAAATCCTATATAATAAGAGGGTAATATGCAAATTAGGTGGAATGACTAGAACGACCGCCCGACCAGTCACTATGAGGCGCACTGACCACCTCTTTGTCCCTTTCCCCGGCTGGCAGGCTCCGATCGCCATATGGCGAATGGGGAACCGGGGGTGGGTGGCAGTGGGGGGCGGGGCCAGCTGCAGGCAGCCAGGGAAGAAGGCCCTGATCTCAGGCCAGGCCTAGGGACCGTATCCACGCACGAATTTCGTGCACCGGGCCTCTGGTATATTTATATTGGTTTCAGAGAGGAAGGGAGAGGGAGAGAGAGAGAGAAACATCAGCGATGAGAAAGAATCATGGATCGGCTACCTCCTATATGCCCCCTACTGGGGATTGAGGCTGCAACCCGGGCTTGTGCCCTGACCAGGAATCGAACCGTGACCTTCTGGTTCATAGGTTGATGCTCAGTCATTGAGCCACACCTGTTGGGCACCGGCTAATTTTTAAGCTGATAATTTTGTATGGCCCGTGAATGATGGCATACATATCCAAATGGGCCTTGGCAGAAAAAAGGTTCCCACCCCTGACGTATACCCTCTACTAGAAATGCAGTGCCGCCCCCCAAGCCCAGTGCTCTGCATCCCAGTGGCCAGCCGGGGGTCCCAGACTGGAAGCCATGAGAGAGGGTGGAGATGGGGGTGGTGCCTGGGTAGAAACCCCGAGAGCATCCGAGGGGACCCTTTCCTGAATTAACCAGCTCCTCTGGCGCCTTTGCAGCCCAAGCAGGAGGCGGGGCCAAGGGAGCCCTGGCGGAGGGGAAAGCAGCGGCTGGTGCGCATGTTCGCCATCTGCCGCGGGACGACAGTGACAGCAGCTGCATCAGCTCCTCCGAGGTACAGCGGCGCCCTCCGCTCCTGGGGACAGACCAGTGCAGACGGAAGGGCCCGGCGCATAGGAGGTGCTGAAGGGAGACTTCAGTGGACCAGGGGCTGCATCCAGGCCCTCACCGTCCACCTGGCATCCTGTGCCCACTCAGCACCCTGCACAGCCCACCCATCAGCACGTGATCCTCACTAGCCAGTCCCCTGGTCTCTCAGGGCCTTGATCACTTTCTATGTAAAGTGGGAAGATTATTTTTTATATTTATTGTGAGGACTAAGCGACATAAAATACAGGAAACAGCTAATAGAGTGCTGGCACATAGTAGGTGCTCAACGAATGTGCCCTGGCTGTGAGCTCCCCCTCCCCTCCCTGTCCCCTCCTCAGCCCTGATGTTGGTGGCCGTGGCTTATTCCCTTTCCAGAGCAGGGAGGGGTCGTGAGCCCATGAGCTCCCACTGACCCTGCCTCGCTGTCCTCCTGTCTCAGCTCTGGTCGGACCTGAGCGCCACGCCCAGCCGCGAGCTGGTGGACAGCGTCCGCTCCAGCAGCCCAGTGCCCCCCAGCCAGCTGTCCCTGTACAAGCGAGCCACCGAGGACTTCCGGGAGGATCCTTGGTCCTTCAGGTAGAGAGGAGGGCATCAGCGTCGGATGACACGGGTCCCCTGCTGGCTCACCGGGGACGAGGGCCGGGCAGGCGCTGGGTGCTCCGGTCCCAAGCCGTCCCCTTCCTCCGCACAGTGGCTTCTCAGAAATCCTGGAGGGGGACTGGGGAGGCTGCCCGGCAGCGAAGGCGGCTGACGTCGACCTGGATTACGAGATTGTAGACAGAGCAGGTGAGTGTGTCCTCTGCCAACCTCTGCAGCCGCCCACCCCCCTGAGCTGGGCCAGGAGGAGACACGAGGACAGGTCTTCCCCGGGCCCAGGCAGAGGGAGGGGAACTGGACCGCCGCCCTGACCCTGGCCCCTGGCAGTTCAGGCCGGTGCCAGCTGCTCTGTGTCCTGGGTGTCCTGTCCATTGTCACCAAGCGGTGAGGGAGTTGTCTCCATGCCTGCTCAGCCCAGATGTTCAGACAGCTGCTCGTTTCGTCCCTCCTGCTCTGGACCCTGGGCACTCGGGCTGCCAGGGCAGCACGGCGCCAGGCTGCAGTGCCCCCTCCTGCTGGCCGGGGCACCTGTGGGAGCCTTTCTCCCCTTTCCCTGTGGCTTATGCCTTGTATCTGTCACTTACCTGGTTCTCTCTCCTCAAGCCGTGTGCCCCTCATGTCAGCCTCCTTACCTTCCCACGCTGCACACCTACCCCAGTCTTGGACCTCACACAGAGTAGGTGCTCAGCACCCTGCCTGGAATTCACCCTGTGGCCACCAGGGGGTGCACGCACCCCATGCTGGTCCACAGAGGCACCTGTGTGTTGGGGCAGTGGTCACGTGGCCAGAAACCTTAGCCTTCCTGGATCACTGGTGGTTTTGTGACAGTGACCAAGGGAAAGGCTCCGCCGGGGGAACCAGCCTGGCTGTGAGGCCAGGAGGACGGGGTGCTTACTGCTCCTCTTCTGTGTGACCCCACATAATGCCCCCCTTTCACGCATTCTAGTGGAATTCACCTCTACGCCAGGAGCACCCAGTGACCTCCACTTGGCTGGAATGTATTCACGAATAGGGTTTCCCCGTGAGCTGGCACAGGCCGCCGTGGCAGGCGACAGGCAGCTGTCCGCCCTCTGCTGGCCTCCGGTCCTCGGGGCGGGCGGTCCACCAGGTGGAGGAGCAGCCTCCGCCGCCCACAGGGAAGCCACCGCCTGGGCTGGGCCCATCGGCCTCCCAGGCTGCATGTCAAAGTGCAGAGCTTGGGGACCCCCAGGGACATCGAGGCCTAGGACTGCCAACTGGAGGCCTCCGCAGCCAGCAGCTGGCGTGGTCGGGGGTAGCGGGAGCAGCGATGCAGGCGGCAGGCGCTGTCATGCAGAAAGGCGGGCCCGGGTTCCACCGGATTTGACTGTTTGGATGAAGGTGGAAGTAGATTCTAGCTTCCCCATCTCATAAAACGTGGGCAACATTCAGTCTCACAAAGGACACAGTGCAGGCCAGACCCAGGCAGGGCAGCTCTCCACCAGCTCCTCCAGTGTGGGGAGATGAGTCAAGGTCTCAGCAGGAGGGAGGAGGAGGACGAGGTCAGCGCAGCCGAGGTGGCGGAGGGGCCTGAGGTCGCGTGTGGCCTCTAGGGCGGCCGGCTGGTGTCTGAGCCTTTGCTTCCTCCTAGACCTCCTGGAGTCTGAGCACAGCCCACAGCTGATCTCCAGGGGCCCCTGCGTCTCAGCCAGGTGAGCGGAGGGGGGCCGGGCCAGCAGGTGGCAGAGTGAGGGCTGTTGGCAGGCGACAGCCTTTTGAGGGTGCGATCATGGCAGGAAGGGGGGTGGAGAGTTCCAGAATGCCGGGGCTGGGGGCAGAGCTGGGCTGCACACGAGCTCCGTGGCCCCTTCCTGCAGCAGCGTCCCCGTGCGGCGGCGGCCGGCCCGGAAGCTCCCGAGCCAGGTCACGGTGCTGGCCTTCCAGGGGGACGCACTGCTGGAGCAGATGAGCGTCATCGGCGGGAACCTCACGGGCATCTTCATCCACCGCGTCACCCCTGGCTCGGCGGCCGACGAGATGGCCTTGCGCCCAGGCACCCAGATCGTCACGGTGAGCTTCAGGGCTCTCATCGCTGCTGTCTGAACGGTGGTCTCATTGTCAGCTCCCGTGCGTGTGCGTGCACGTCTGTGTTCAAGTACACAGAACGCGAGATTCACCACTTTCACTCTTTAAAACTTTTTGTTGTAAAATATTCATGATGCTGCAGAAAACATAAATGTACAACTTAACTAATTACCATTAAGTGACTGCAGTAGCGGGGAGGTGACGTTGATGTCGCTGAAACTTGAACTTTCACCTTTTTAACAATTGTAAGAAATTCACAAAATAGGCGTCACTGTTCCCAAGGCTGGCCTGTCCCCCAGAGGAGACCCCGCCCCCACGCCACGGGAGCCCTTTCTCCGTGTCTCGTTGTCAGTTATATTGTGGTTACAGCCGCAGAGCCCTTTATGGTGTGTGGGGGACAGTCCTGAGCCCCGAATGGGGCCAGTGCAGCTAAAGGCACATGGTCATTCTCCTTACAAAGTGCCCTCTCGGCGTGAGGCAGCGAGGGAGTGAATGGAGGGACAGTGAGAGCCGGAGCTTTCCCAGCGGGGCGGGGGCGGGGGGATGGCAGCTCGCGGTGGACACCAAGGCCCGGGAGGCCCCACAGCACAGAGTGACCCAGCTCCACGTGTCAGTAATCCCAGCGC